CATCTTTTTAAGTGGGAGAACTTGCACTATTGGTGGCTGACTAAATACTTTTTTGCCCCACTGTATATATATAGGTATATATACTGTCAGGTTCCTGTGTTCTGTGCTCTGCAGATTCTCTTCCACAGGTGGCAGTTGTTGATAGGTGGGCGTGGCTCATTGGGGCTGGACAAGAGAACCCCTTTGCTGGATTCACTCTGGTTCCTTCAGCTGCTCCTCGAACCTGTCTCCGCTGTGGTGCTGCTCGGGCTCCCGTCCCATCCGCAAGCTCACTTATCCCTCAGCCATCTCCTCCCATTGGAAAGCAATGAGTTGCTGAACCCTGTCTTCCACTCACCCTCCCCGGATAGGTTATCCGTACCTGGCGGTAAGCAGCAGCAGCAGCATCAGCGCAGATCTCCCCTTACTACTTACTATATTAGTGTTAATTGGTTTCCTCTTTCCTCCCGCATTGCTCCTAACGCTGACGTTCTGAACCTCACCTGCAGCTCATGTGATGAGCTATTCTTATTTCTTCCACTCCCCTGTGCCCTCTGGCTGAACCACCTCCACCCACCCCGGACAGTCAAAATTGTTGGATCTGAGGAATCGTGGACTCTCGTCGATGAAGTAAGGGTCACCAGTATCTCTTCGATTTGGAGGGCATTGGCCTGAGGACCGGTAATGGGTGTCTTGTTCCTCGATCCCTGATCCAGCCCTTTTGGACACCTTTTGGGCCTCTCGCCCATCTACATCCTCCTTAGCGCCGCCAGGAGGCGACCGATGAGGGGGTGGTGGTGTCAGGTTTTTGTGTTCTGTGCTCTGCTGATTCTCTTCCACAGGTGGCTGTTGTCAGCTGAAGGATGCCAGAGTGTTAGACCTTTATGGTATGCCTAGGCCTGTGTCCTGTTGACAGATCTTCTCTTCTGAGAGTTTGAAGTTTTGAATTCCTAGTTCTAACTTTGTCTCCTGTCTCCCTCAGCTCATTGTGCTCTGAAGACTGGTTCCTGAATCCCTGCTGCTCAGATTCTGCTCTGGCATTCCCCTCTAGCGCCCTTGATGTTACCATGCTGGACACAAGAACCCCTTCCTGGATTTACTCAGGTTACTTCAGCTGCTCCTCAAACCCATCTCCGCTGTGGTGCTGCTCAGGCTCCCGTTCTATACGCAAGCTCACCTGTCCCTCAGCCATCTCCTCCCATTGGAAAGCAGTGAGTTGCAGAACCCTTTCTTCTACTCACCCTGTGCCCTCCGACGGAACCACATCCACCCACCCGGGACTGTCAAAATCTCGTCGACGAGGTAAGGGTCACCAGTATCTCGTCAATTTGGAGGGTTAGGGTTAACTGCAAGTGTATAGAGGAGCTTGATGAAAAATTTGAACTGGAACAAGAAGGAAATGGGAGAGTTGCAAGAACAAGGCATAAGTGGTGCCCATGTTCATTGGGTTCCTCGGGGCAGTGGACTTGAGGAGTGGTTACAGCAGATCCCTGGAAATACATCAGACCTCTTGGTCCAGAAAAGTGCATGTTTTGTGAATTCAATTGAATTAACAGATTACAGCAGCAATGTCCATTAGCTAAGTTACTAATTTAAGTGATTTGCCCACTTAAAAGAAATAAGCAAAACAACTTGTCATTGAGTTGTATAGTATGTAAGAGTCCTACTCTACTACTCTAACTATTCTCAAGGAAATTAGACATTACACCTTTCTGTCATAACCTTTTTTTCAACTTTTTTGTCACCTTCACATTTTGGACACAGAAATGTTTGCTGAAGCCTCAGATACAGTGTAAACGTATGTAAGTCTTTAACTGCGCAGTTTTTTTTAGCGTCTCTACATAAATACTATAATAGTGTAATAATTTTATGATTAATATCTAAAACATAAAAAATCTTATGAAATGTCACTAGAATATTTTTTCTTAAATAGTATCTATTTTTCATGTCTTTCCTTCTCACATCTTCAGTGGTTCAGTGGTCCATTTAAACTACTTGCTAGATGCTATATTGATATGCTTCATTAAACTAAATCTTCTTTGATGGTCAACATTGGATGCTTTAAATGCATAGTTGTACAAATATCCAAAAACTGCTACATATGCTTTGGCTGGTCATTGCTAAGCACTTTTTCTATTGTTACAAATCTAAATCTTTATTCTAAAATAGATTTTATAGGGATATATAACACTGGCATTGAAAAGTACTATTAAGTAGCCATTATTAAGCCACTAGAGTGACAGGCTCTGCTGGCATCCGCAATTACGCTGCCACTAGGGTGACAGGCTCTGCTGGCACCCACCACTACCAAGCCACTAGGGTGACATCCTGTGCTGGCACCTGCCACTAGCGTGGCAGTCCAGCTGTCCTGCAAGGTATCAGTAAACTCCCAGGTTTACTGATACCATTTGGTGGGCTGCAGAAGCTGTTTTTCAGCATATAACTTTTTATTTTTCTTGTTTAGTTTTCTTGTC